TGATGCCTTTCCACCATATGGTGGGCATTTTACTTGATGAATCTAACAGACTTGGAGTAATAATTTGATGAAATTCAGTCCAAATGAATTGTGAAAGATAGTAAGATATGATGAATTACACGCACAAGGAAGGGATAGGGCTGGATCCAGATGAAGAGGTCACAGAGGAAGTTGAGAGAGCAGGTCTGTCCTCGTCCCTTCCTTCCCCTTCTGCAAAGAGCCTGCCACTTGTCCCAAAACTCCAGTGAAGATCAGGAGAGCCTTGTAAGCAAAATGCATCACAGGATGTGATGCTGCAGTGATAAGGGAGAAATCAAATAAAATCTCCCATTTTCCCTTTGCATGGCTTGCATCAATAGGGGAAATACATTACCTGATTCCCCCCCCCCCCAATCACTGCAGCATTATGTCCTTTGGGGCCTTTTGCTCCTGGGGATCTCCCGATTCTCAGAAAGGGTGTGTGTGAGGGGAGATCTGCGCTGCCAACTCCTTCCATGAGCTCTTTTCTGGATCCAACTCACAAGGACCATTACTATAGTAGGATCCTTCTTATATAATGTTCTCTGCTCAAATTCCCTAACAGGTCTGAGCCAATATCATTAATCCTATTTTGTTGGGGGGGGGGGTGTCTGAGGGACAAGAAATGTTTCAGTTAAAGGACAGAGGGGAATTCAGTATGTTTTCAAGAAAACAGACAGTAAGATGATGACAGTGAGCAGCTTAGGACATTTCAGATGCTAAAATTACTTATGAGAGGTAAATCAAATGTACATATATGAAGTGGGAAATGAGCATCTTGGCAACTGTTGACTACCCCTGGTAAGCTAGGCAGCTGGACCTACGGTAATTCTTGGGATACATTCCAACATTACATTGCCACTATCAGGCCCACAACATAACTTTATGCATTTTATTCTGAAACAAGTCCTAGTATGTTCAGTGGAATTTTCTCCCCCAGTTTGCAAAGCATTCCAGCCACAATTTTGTAATGATTGAGGAACCAGATGACAAAAGACCATCATTTTGGATGTGCTTGATTATTTATTTAAAGTCTTTTAAAGCTGCCTTTCCACTCATCTTACAGTCCCCAAGGTGGAGAACAGTCAAAGTCAATAAAGCAGTTTTTTAAAAAAAACATACAAACAATTAAAAACAACTAAACAAAACACCTAAATGGGAAGGGTTAATGAGAGAATGACAAAGAAAACTGAAAAAGTGTTCATCCACTATTAGAAGACAATGATTGAGGGGGATAGATGAATCTCCCTGGGGAGAGGATTCCACAGTTTTGGTGCCACAACTGAGAAGGCCCTTTCTTGGGTCGTCACCCACCTAGTCTCAGATGGCAATGGCCCCCAAAATAGGGTTCTGGAAGATGACCTTATTGGTTCATTAGGTTCATGTAGAAGTAGGTTTTCCTCAAAGTACCCTGGCCCCAAGCCATGTAGAGCTTTAAAGGTCAACAGCAGCACCTTAAATTGGGAGCCAGCAGAGTAAGATTGGAATGGTGTCCCTATAAACCATTCTAGCTAGCATTTTGGCTGCAGCATTCTTTACCCATTGTACTTTTCAGACACTCACAGTTACCAGAAAGTTTTTGAATAACTTTACCTGAAAATTTCAAGAAATGAGTGAAGAATGATCTAAATATTCAGGGAAAGCATATAGCAGAGCCCATCTGACATGGTGCCACTGTAGAACACAGCTGGGATATTGCATTTTTGAACATTCCATCATATCACAATTTCACTGCCCATAGAAAAGTAATCTCTCACGCAAAGGGTTCTAAGCCTAGCAATGATGCTAAGTATTCTTGTTTTCTATTTTTATTTTATGTATATTGAAATATGCTGTCCCCACGATCTCCTTTATGGAGTGGCTTAACAATAAGAAAACCTAACCCTTGTGAAGGACTGGTGACCGTTCAAGTTAATTTTACTTTTTATGACCAGCTCCATGATTGACACTCGAGAATATAATATAAATTGCTTTCAACTAAAATCATAATTAATGGTTAATTTATTTAGGATGATTGGCAAGAACCTCATGAAAGCCAGAACTGACAGAATTCTTAGGGTCTTCCCTGTAAATCTGAACAGAGTGAGCTGAAGTGTTTCCTCTTTGCGTCCCAGAAGATGGCTCAATCACTTCATGCAATACCTGCTGAAAAAAATTATTTTATTTGCTAAAATAATATCAGATATGACAAGGTTTACACCAGACAATTCTAGCCAACAACTGAGCACCTGACTCATTCTAGTAAGAATCTCAATGGTTTCAAAAAAATGGGGGAGAATATGGAGCTAGGTCATTATAGAGGATGAACTGTCTTATAATGACAGTATCACTAACCTTGTGTTAAGTACTGTCTCAAGCACCATAGTACATTGTCCCAAGGAGTTGCTCTTAAAGTTGTTTTGAGACCTCGTATTGGGGATGCAGAGAAAGAAACTAAAATAATCACTATAGATCAATTCTTTAAGGTGATGCTCTGAGCTGGCTGAAACTAAACCCAGTGAAGACGGAGGTCCTGTGCTTGAGTCGGAATGGTTTAGGGATGGGGATCCCTCTCCCGACCTTTGATGGGGCACCTTTGGTGCCAGCACCGGAGGTTAGGAGTTTGGGAGTGCTCCTGGATTCCTCCCTATCTATGGAGGCCCAGGTGGTAGCCACTGCTGGCTCGGCCTTTTACCATCTTTGGTTGGTCCCCTTCCTTGACTGCGACGACCTGGCTACAGTGATCCATGAGACGGTCACCTCGAGATTAGACTCCTGTAATGCTCTCTACATGGAGCTGCCTTTGTCGCAGATTCGGAAGCTGCAGTTAGTGCAGGATGCTGCGGCCAGGCTGTTGATGGGTCTCCCTAGATGGGAGCACATCCAGCCTGTGCTGAAAGCACTGCAGTGGCTGCCAATAGCTTTCCAAGTTCATTTCAAGGTGCTGGTACTTACCTTTAAAGCCCCATATGGCCAGGGCCCGATGTACCTGAGGGACTGCCTTTCCCCATACATACCCCAGAGAGCACTATGGTCCGGGGCCCAACATCGATTAGTGATCCCAGGCCCTAAGGAGGCCAGGCTTGTGGCAACCAGGGCCAAGGTCTTCTCAGTGGCGGCTCCTACCTGGTGGAATGAGCTCCTGGAGGAGATCAGGGCCCTGTGCGACCTCTTACAGTTCCGCAGGGCCTGCAAGACGGAGCCCTTCCACCAGGCCTTCAATTAGGAGCCGCCACTACCACCACCACCATCTCGTGGCAATAATGGGTAATGGTATGGCCATTTATAAAGATCTAGCCACAGTATTGTGATGGGTCGGTACCGCTGAAGTGGGCTTTTGAGAAACATCTATAGGTCACCATCTTGATGCGATCACTGAGCACTTTATTATTGTTAATTATGGTTGTTTTTATTCTGTTTTTAATGTTTTATATTGGCACATGATTGCCCTTGTTTGTGAGCCGCCCTGAGCCTGTTTGCGGGGAGGGCGGGATAGAAATGCAATAATAAATAAAATAAAATAAAATAAAATGAATGAATGAAAGAAAGAAAGAAAGAAAACTCATGACTCTACCAAATCAGATTAATTGAGAGTGGCAATCATTGCAAGAAAAGAAAACATACTGAATCTAAGCAAACAAGACATTAATGGGTTAGAGCAGAGGTGTCGAACTCAATTGTAATGAGGGCCGGATCTGACATAAATGAGACATTGTTGAGCCGGGCCATGTGTGTCATAAAATGTAATGCCAGGTAGCAGAGATATAAACTTTATAAAGGACACAAACACAAAGATTTTTTTTACTTAAAATAAAAACATGTTTAAAACATTAGCTCTGTAAGCTGCAAATCTACTTTTGATTTATTGACATTCACCACAGAAATATCATGTTCACAGTTCTGCGTCTAGGACCCAGGTTAAAACATGAAATGGCTAAGTGATTAAGAGAGTCTGGTGAAGCAAGCGATGATGCAGCAGGAGCAGCAGAACTGGAAGCAGGAAATGGCCAGTTCTACTGCGGGCCTGATTGAAGCCCTCTGGGGGCTTCATCCGGCCCCCGGGCCACATGTTTGACACCCCTGGGTTAGAGGGAACAGCCTGGTTGCTACAAAAAGAGAGACGAGATACTTGTTTCACAGTTTTAATACAAATATGGGTAATTGCACATTACCCAGCTGTTTGAAAAGCATCTCTGCATGGGTTAAAATTTACAAATACTTCTTAAGAGGCAATGCACTTGTGGGAAAGGACAGGAAGTTCTTTGGAACATGCACACATGTATTCACCTGGTTATTAACAGAAGTAGAGATTGAACATATTCATTTCTAGCTGACATTAGGCCAAGTATATTCCTAATCTATTATACTCTGTATCTGGTTGAATTGGTTTTCCACTGTAAAACTGAAGCTGAAATCTAAAGGAGCCCTGCTAACCTTACGCCTGACCCATATCTGTAACCGCCTGCACTCAGTAAACTTCCTACATTGCACATACAACATTCTTAATTTGTTGTAACAAATTCAGCTTTTAGTGGTGTCTTCTATGCAAGAGCAGAACATAAACAGACACAAACCAGTTTAACGAGGTCAGTCCTCAGCTTAAAACCTTGAAAGGTCATATTGTGTTCTAGTTCTTCCTGCTGATCTCTTGAGGGTGGCAGCTAGATCAAAGACAAATTCTGATAAAGCTCCTTACTCAGCAATCGTCTTTTTTACCCTACTGAGCCACTGGCCAAAGTCTCAGAGCAAAAGCTTACCCATGGGGAACATCCACACTTATCATAGATCCTGTTCCTCACCACTTTGTAACATAATTACACACACACACACAAAGGACCCCTCCCCTGTGCTCCCCTAATTTACCTCCGGCAGTAACTGAGGAGGCAGTTCTGTGAAAAGAAAGCAGCAGCCAGCAGAGAATAGTCATCCCAAACCATAAAAGAACTCTGAATGCCCTGAATGGTTAACAAAAAAGAACAGAAAAAAGAAAGGCATTACGATACCTTTGAACTTGTGAAAGACAGCCCATAGCTCTGCAATGTCTGTAGCAAAGGTAATGTCTGTGTCAAGTACAATGACTCGTTCAAGGTTGGCAGGAAGAGTCTTTGTCAGAACCAGCTTCATCAGCCCATAAATCCCAGAATAATGTTTGTTGGGTATCCAGGATACTTCAGACTAATGAAAGGGACAGGGAAAAGGGAAGAGAGAAGGAAGGAAGGAGGGAAGAGACAAGTTTTATTAGATGAAAAACAGCTTTCCCAACATTCTTTCTAAGGTTGGCCCTTGAAATCAAAAGAGACACTGCTCCGTCAGAGAATATATGAACTTACAGAAGCCTCTGTGAACAATGTGGACCAACTGGAAGAAAGCCTAGGAGGCAAGCTTTCTACTTCAAAAGGGAACACACCACATGGACCTCCAAAGTCTTTGAAATATCCACCTAAGCCACACAGACAAAAGAACTACAGAGACTTTCCAACTGAAATGGAAAAATGGATAGAATGTTGGACTAGGATCTGGGAGACCCAAGTTCAAAATCCCACTCGGCCACTGAAACTTGCTGGGTGACCTAAGGCGTGTCACTCTTAGTTCTTGTGACTATGAGAATAAAAAGAAATAATCTCAAAAAGTTTGATTCACTCTGCAAGTTGTCCTCCCCCCAGGTATAACCCTGTGACTGTAGTTTGGAGATCATAACTAATGTCAAAACACATGACACCCGCCCTAACCTGGATAGCCCAGGCAAGCCCCATCTTGTCAGATCTCAGAAGCTAAGCAGGGCTGACCCTGGCAAGTAATTGGAAGGGAGACCTCCAAGGAATACCAGGGCTCAGGACGCAGAGGCAGGCTATCAAGCCACCTCTCTGAAAAATGTCCAAGCCCACAATAGGGGTCACCAGAAGTCACCATGATTTCCAGGCATGCAAGCACACACACAAACAAACACAAAACCACATGACACCAGTTTTTCTAAATTGCAGCATTTGATAAGCAGATGTTCACAGCAATCAGATTTGTTGCATGTATTTTCTACCTGGAATATCTGTGCACAGTTGAACCCATTTTTCTCTACCCATACACCCTTCCCTTCATTAAAAGTTATCACTGGTGTTCAAAGTTTATTTAGACTTAAGTGTCAGGAAAGGGTGTAGCTAGGCATTTTACTCTAACAAGATCTCCCTTTCATCTCCCTCTCCCCAATTTTACCTGCACAGACCACACCATCCATTACCAGCAGAGATATACCAGCTGACCTCTACATTACAGCTTCAGGGAGAAAGACATCACCATAGAAGTTTAAGAGTTTCCAAAATGAGAGAAATGAGAACTTTTCAAAATGAAAGTGAAAAATGACCCAGGATTCACATTATCTGAAGAGCTCTGTACAGTTTTCATCAGTTTTCAACATACTTTGTGATCAATCAGTTGTACTTGCATACAGCAGGCCATATATACAAAACTGGCACAACGGAATGAGCATCTACTTAATGGTTCCTATCGTTTATTTATTTATTAAACTTATATCCTGCCCTACCCCACAAGTAGGCTCAGGGTGGCTCATAACATATACATTAAAAATAAAACTGATAACATTAAAACAATTAAACAATTTAGACAATCAAAGCAAGATGGCACAAAAACACTAACAGTCCAACGTCTCCTGTAGCATTTTGAACAGATGATAATAGGTCGCCCGATTTATAGCAGTTTTTAAGCAGATGGTGGTAGCTAAACTGATTTACAATAGTGCCCCATAGGTAATAAACAGTATCTGAAAGGCACTGGGTGGGTACAAAAGGCAGGAGAGGCCGAGATGGTTTAATGCCTGCCACATCAACCAAAGGCTTGGTGGAACAGCTCCATCTTACAGGCCCTGTGGAGTTGTAATAGGTCCCGCAGGGCTCTGATCTCAGATGGGAGCATGTTCCACCAGGCTGGGGCCAGGACTGAGAAAGCCTTGATCGTCATTGAGGCTAAGCAGACATATCTTGGGCCAGGGATTACCAGGAGGTGTTGATCTACAGGGCTCAAGAATCTCCGGGCCCATATGGGGAGAGGCAGTCCTGTAGATATGCTGGTGCCAGGCCGTGTAGAGCTTTAAAGGTCAGTACCATAACCCTGAACTGGATTCAGAATTCAATTGGCAGCCAGTGCAGTCAGTGAAGCACCAACTGGATGTGCACCCACACAGGTGTTGCCATCAGCAGGCATTCTGCTGTATTCTGCACTAGTTGTAGTTTCCAGATCAGGTTCAAGGGTAGCCTTGCATAGAGTGAGTTATAGTAATCAAGCCTGGAAGTGACCATTGTTTGGATCACTGTAGCTATATCCTGAGATGTGAGATAGGGAACCAGATGCCCGACCAGCCGAAGACGATAAAAGGCCTATCTGGCAACTGTGGTGACCTGGGCCTCCATAGAAAGTGAGGGATCCAGGATCACCCCAAGACTCCTCACCTTCAGTGCTGGCACCAATGACACCCCACCGAGTGATGATAGATAAATGGCACCTCTCATAAAGTTTTGATTATGGTTTTAGAGAACCGGTGATGTCAGGGGGTGTGGTATATGCTAATGAGCTATTATGCTAATAGCCTAGTAGCTCATTAGCATACCTTATGCTAACAAGCTCCTGCAGCTCTTTTTCTATGAAAAGACTTCTGGCAGTATTTTTATGTAAGAGGGCTGACTTCTGGATTGAATATTAGATTGCAAAAGGGATGTACAGTTAGCTCATATTGAATCTAAATCCAAACCAAATAAGATTTATACAATCTGAAGAGAAACCAGAGTATGTGAGGGTGATCTTGCTGTGACATCTGTCACTCCATTGATTGCCTGGGTTGATCTGGCTGGCTAGGCAGCTGTTCCCTACCTATTTCACCACTCCATGAGCATCCTTCCTGATGCTGTGTGCTTGGTGGAAGAGGGCAACCATCCCATTTAGAACCCAAATATGACCCATTTGTTAACCTCAAAAGGGTAACTATTTCAGATGATACTGGGTAGTCTTTACAATATTCAGTAAAGAACCAAACAGACTGTATTTGATTGTAGATTTGACAACATTATGATATATGCAGCTGCACTCTGCTTCAGTCTCCATTTCTCCATGCTCACTATCATCCCTGAGACAGTGATGGATAGAACTTATAAGGGGAGAGGGTGACTCAGCAGGTATGTGCCTGGCATAGATCTTGTCCAGCCAAAACTATTAGCTTATCTTCATGCTGACTAGGATCATCCTGATTGGTGCTTCTGTGCACAGCAAGCATCTTCTTCCATCAGTACACCAGGGCCCATAGACGGCTCTCTTGATTCAACATAAGCATGGGACAAGTTTGCCTGAGCATTTCCATTAGGTGGAGCCACACACAAGCAAGGAAAAAACTCTGCTGGGAAAAGGGGGTAGAGGCAGCAGCTCAGGTTTTACTCTTGCTTAATAGGCAGTTCATCTGCCTGGCAATGGAAGGCGTGGAGGCTTGAGTAAACAAACAAGAGGAAAACATACATATACACTTCCGATCTAAGGGAGATGTCTCTGAGATCGATGGCGAACCTAAACAGCATGATAAAAAGTAGAGACATCACTCTGCCAACAAAAGTCCGCATGGTCAAAGCAATGGTATTCCCAGTAGTCATGTATGGCTGCGAGAGTTGGACTATAAGGAAGGCCGAGCACCAAAGAATAGATTCTTTTGAACTATGGTGCTGGAGAAGACTCTTAAGAGTCCCTTGGACTGCAAGAAGATCAAATCAGTCAATCCTAAAAGAAATCAACCCTGACTGTTCCCTGGAAGGCCAGATAATGAAACTGAAGCTCAAATACTTTGGCCACCAAACGAGAAGGGAGCACTCACTGGAGAAGACCCTGATGCTGGGAAAGATTGAAGGTCAAAGAAGACGGGGACGGCAAAGGATGAGATGGTCAGACAGTGTCATCGATGCGACGAACATGAAATTGAGCCAACTTCAGAGGATGGCGGAAGACTGGAAGGCCTGGCAGGAGCTGGTCCATGGGGTCGCGAAGAGTCAGACTCGACTGTGCGACTGAACAACAACAACAACAAAAAGCTAAGCAGTTGTGAGATGACTCTGTAAGAGTGAGTTTGCTTGTTCATATATAAAAGGGGGGATTCAAAACCACCTCAGAGACCAACAAGATTTTCAGTTTAGAAGCTTTTGAGAATCAAAGCTCCCTTATTGGTACTGATTATCTCAGGGGGCTTGCAGCAGAAGATGGGAAGTACTACTTTGTCTAGTTCCATACTGGTGCCTCATACCAACTCTATTTCACACCTGCCTCTAGAGAATAAGAATAATAGAATAGGAAAGTTTTTTGCTATCTGCCCAAAATCTGAAAAAGAATAGCTCATGGCTAAGATGCGGAACTCCTGTGAATTTCATCCCAGTCAGGGATGTTCTCCACTGAAACTAGGGGGATGCATTATCCAAATATGAAAGAACCTGAAAAGAATTATCAAACAAATGGCCCAAATCTACCCCCCCCAACAAAAAAAACCCATGTGCAAATCCATATTGTGCTAAGACTTCTAGAGGGAAGTTGCTGGGAATTTGCTATATCTCTGTCTTTGGTACTGGAAAAATGTCTCTGGTTGATTTAAATCCTTATACAGAAAAACTGTACCAAACCAATGAGCTTATTGTTTAGCTCACCTCCCTTCTTTATATTATAACATGGCCCGTAATTATCTGCATCAGTTCAGGAAGAGAGGCCTGTAACATGCGACTTCTGACCTTAATGGGATATTTGAATAGATAAAATTGGTTTTCAAAAATTCATTGTGATAAAAACTGAACAATCTTTGTAATCCACTACATCCACACATCCTTGGATTTTACACTACCTTTGCAGAGTTCTTCTGGTAGTTCCCTGTGTGGATAAGCCAAACTAATTGTGATGAATGTTATAGCACGAGAGCAGTTTCCAGTGTTGCACATATACAGCTTATTGCACACTTGCTAGGACTTTATTTTTTAAAAAATTCTGATGGGATTCTGAGTCCAGTATTCATTAACACTGGTGGTATAATTAATCACTCTCTTCCCACGAAGTATTGAGCTATTTGAATGGACAGATGGGGTCTATAAATGCTGCAGAATAAGGACTGAGTTGATAAACTGCAGGTCGGGCATATCAGCTTGATGCTAGCA